AACGAGTGAACGAATTATTATATTGTGTGCACAATTTAGTAAAACGAGTGAACGAACAGGGGCGGACTTAACCATTAGGCAAAGGTCGGCAATTGCCTCGGGCCCCGAGCTACCTAGGGGCCCCCAAAATGCCCCATTAAATTATGCTTAAGTTTTTGCTTTCATACTGGCAGCGTTTGACGCGCGCGGCGTGTTTACAGACAAAGTACTCTATAATGGGTAAGTTGGCATTGCTTTATTTCGTTTTCAAATACATTTAAGAGAAAAGACTTGTCAAGAAGCTTATTTCATTAATTAATAGGCTATATTATAAAACTTTTGGTTCATATTTGTTTTTGTTGACTTTGTTTTATGTTTAAATTGATGAAGGTCATTTGATTGACTGTTTAAAACACAATAGATATCACCAATGCGCTTTTGGGTCAAACTGCTGTGTTTTTGGCCATGACATTGCCACTTTAATTCAGCGTAAGCCGCGCGGCAAAAATAGACAGGACGCCGAAACGATCGCGGCACTGCTGCTCCTGCTCTGCTCCTGCTACGCGCTGCCGCGCCGCCTCTGCGTGCGGTGTGAATGCTCTAATCTGTTAACATGGGCGCCGAAAAAAATACGCGCTGCGTGCAGTGTGAAACCGGCGGAACCCCTCATTTACACTGCACACGTCTGCGGCGGATTACGGCTGCGACACGGTTTTATTCCGTCCTTCACACAGTGCCAACTCACACCAGGAGCATTTCAGACGCGAAGCGACTGGATGCGCGAGACCACGTGACCCCTCATTTACACTGCACACGTCTGCGGCGCATTACGGCTGCGACACGGCTACCGGAGCTGATCGCGGCCATTCTAGTCAATGCGTGTGTTTACACCGGCCGCGAAGCGGCGCGTTTCAGAAGCTTCCCAGAAGCGGCTCTCCGCGTCTGAAATGCTCCTGGTGTGAGTTGGCACTGTGTGAAGGACGGAATAAAACCGTGTCGCAGCCGTAATGCGCCGCAGACGTGTGCAGTGTAAATGAGGGGTAATGCGCCAAAAAACGGACGGAGAAAAATAAGTGATTAACAGACAGTGTACAGAGTGACAGACTGAGTGTACAGAGTAGTAGAGTCAAAATGAAGCGAAGCTACCCAAGCGGTGCTGAAAAAGCAGGAAGCGGGAGGAAAGCAAAACGTTTTTAGCAAAATTGCAGAAGGTAACAAACTTTTTTGTGATGCCCGCTGACAATGACAACAATGCTAACGATATGTTACAAGTCCATGGCCGTAGCCAGCTATGAGGTGACCGAGGTCCGGAACTCTGTCATTTTTTTACATTCAAAAATAAAATGTCAAGCTCTCTGAATGATTAATCAGCCATTTAAACCACCTCATATGAGTGTTTGCAATTCATGTTGCTGCGAGAAGCTTGAGAGCGCGCTGTGAGTGAGGGCGCGCGTGCAGCCTCCGTGTTGCCAGATCCACTAATGGAAAGGTGGAAGAAGCCTAGTCTCCTGGACCGGTTTTTCTGATTTAATGCGACACTTTAGGAAGTTATTAAAGTGGAAAGTTGCATGTTATGGTTAGTGATATATTTACCTTATTTCCAAAACACAAGCTTTGAACTTATATCGGATTATTATTATGTTTCGTTTTTCTTGTTTTTCGTAGCAATATCTGGCAACATTTTGTGTCTGACAAACTGTAATTGCATAAAGCTACCACATTCGGTAAGACAAACGCAATGATCATCGTGATTATCTGTAAGAAATGTAAAACACTATCAAAAACTATAGCATAACACAGATCTGTATGAATGAAATTTGCCAAATAACTTACTGGCCAGCAGGAAGACGGCTCATGCTGTTTAGTTAACCTTTCACAAAGTCATCATAAAAACATTAATTAAAGCAGTGTTTCTCAACTAGCTATTCAGTCAGCATATTTGTGTTTGATCTGTGTAAATTACAGAAATATAAGACTTGCTAGACCTAGTTTTTTTCTATATTTCTTTGCACAAAACTCTCCAGAAAGTGCCATTTAATGGTTTATTTTCCAAAAAAAAAAAAAATCGTTCTCTTTTAAAGATCGGATGGGGGGCCCCATACTACCTTTGCCTTGGGCCCCCAATTTGCTAAATCCGCCACTGTGAACGAATTATTATATTCTATGCACGATTTCGTAAAACGAGTGAACGAATTATATTATATGCACAATTTAGTAAAACGAGTGAACGAATTATTATATTGTGCGCACGATGTAGTAAAATGAGGGAATTAATTATTATATTGTAACAAATAATTTAGTAAAACGAGGGAACAAATAATAAAATCGTCCGCGCAATATAGTGAAACGAGGGAACTAACTATTATATCGCGCCAACGAGTTAGTAAAATGAGTTAGTAAAATTATTTTATCATGCACGTGAGAAATAGGGAACAAATTATATTGGCCCTCATTTATCATTCTTCCGTAGAAACGGGCGTATATGTTGGCGTTAGATTATGCTTACACTCCTCTCACCGCCTGATTTATGAAGCTGTGCGTACCTTTGAAATCCAGGTGTACGCATGCGCCTGCCCTTGATAAATCCCGCGGCTGAAAACGATCGTCATTAGAATAACACGCCCCTATATATTCAAGTCTCCGCTTCCCCCACGCCCTCATTTTACGCCATGGACACACGGAAGACGGCACAGAAGAGAAACTTCTCCGACGTGGAGCCGAAATGTCCTATCACAATGCAATATTTTACAGCACGTCTTTTGAAACAATTAGCATTCAATTTCGAATCACGTTACATGTATTGGGGTGTACAATAGTGATGATGATGAGGATGATGATGATGTGATGTGGAGTACCATTCATTCACATTAATAATTGCATGACAATTTGTAATATTCTTATTATTATTATGATTTTTATTATTAATGACGCTTATTGTTATTTAGAAGAAGAACGTCGTTATTATTAGGCTATTTGTATTATTATTATTATTATTTAAAAGAAGAAGAATGTATTTTTTATTATTTTGTCAGTCTGAATTATTTTTTGGTCATTGAAAGCCTTTCATTACCGAACCCAGTCCGTGCGCACCTGCCGGGCCAAACCATGAAACGTCAGGGTAAAGCGCACAGGCTCGCAACTGAAGGAATACATATGGCTACAAATCAAATTGCTTTGGTAAAGTCACACAAATTAAACATTGAAGTCCATGTTGCACAAAAATAAACACTGAAGTTTATAATTACTATGTTGTTGTTGTTGGTCATATTATCATGTCTTGCAGTTTGTCAGTGCGTTTTGTGGTGTTAGGAATTGTTTTTCTGCGCATTTCCGCACTAACTCAAAACGTGCGTACATGTACACCACCTCGTGAGCTGGCGTAGGATTTGAGCGTGCCGTACACCAACGTCCATATTGATAAATCTCAAAGTCACCGTGGTTTTGGGTGTACGCCAGGTGTACGCTGGAAATTTGGTGTACGCACTTTTGATAAATGAGGGCCATTGTGTGCACGATTTAGTAAAACCAGGGAATGCATTATTGTATAGTAGGGGAATAACCCACTGTGCAGTGTGGCGTCGGAGTGACGTCTTTTCTATGTAATTTTTGGATGTCCAATTTCGGTCCACTGAAGGGGTTGTTTTGTAACGCCAGACGACGTCTTTTTTCGACGTCTAATGTTGACGTTCGTGGGACCTCCGTGTAAGGGTTATTTATAGTCCAAATGGTCTTTTACCCAGTTCAAAGGTCAAATGTTGAACGTCAATATGACGTCCAAGTTGGGTCATGGTTGGACGTCCAAAAAGTGGACCTAGTTTGGACGTCGAATAGATGTCCAGAATTGCTCATGGACCGACGGACCCAATATAGACATGATCTGCACGTCTATTCGACCTCCAAGGTTTAGTGGGTACAGTTAACCACATAAAGAAACCAGTAAGCTCAATGAAGACCAGGAGTACAAATTCAAGTTCAGGTTCTCCACACTTCTAAAGGCCACAGAGGATCCAGCCTCGAACTTCAGATTCACAAACACTACATGGATGATCAGTTGATGTTGAGTCTACAAGTTTAACAAGAGTCCGAACATGGTATTCTCTTCATGCAAATTAGACATTATCTGTTGTTCTATATATGAGTCGTAACACCCGAAGGTCACATGACTCTAAACATAATAAACAAACTGCCAAAACACTGGCAATATCTTCTCCATTCAAGGCTGAGTTCTTGTCAGGACTTCACTGGAACTGATGCAAACCTCTACACATGATTCACAGTTTAACATAGTGACAAATTGTGCTATAAATCCTAAAAAGAATTACGGTGTTAGAACATATTGGTAACACTTTACAATAGGTTCATTATTAATATATTATCTAACATGAACTAGCAATACATTTGTTACTATATTAGTTCATCTTTGTTAATATTAGTTAATAAAAATACAGCTGTTCATTGTTTGTTCATGTTAGTTCACAGTGCATTAACTAATGTTAACAACCTTTGATTCTAATAATGTATTGGTAAATGTTGAAATTAATATTAACTAAGATTAATAAAGGCTGTATATGTTTAGTTCATTCTTAGTTCATGTTAACTAAGGTAGTTAATGTTAAAGGTGCTGTGTGTAACTTTCACTCTACTAAAGCATAAAATTACCATAATATGTTTGCATATATTGAGGAAACATGCTGAGTTCACACACTCGTTCCTCTGTAAAACACTACAGTTATTTTACTCTGAAATGTGCGTTTCCAGGCTGGAATGTTTGTTTTTGTTTTGGTCTGTGATATTACACGTTGCAATTACACGTCGCTCGTTCCTGTTGGGTCTCAATCTGGCGACCCGTGAGCGTCGAGTCCGTGGAGGCGGGGAAACGACGATCTCTGCTATTATGATTTGGACTGCAGTACCGATGTCCACCACTAGTGTCATTCTTACAGACTGCACCTTTAACTAATGGACCATACTAATGAACATATCTGTGTTAGCTGTGACTTTTAAATGTGTGTGTTGTTCAGGTGACGCCGTCCAGCACCGAGTTCACGTTCCGCACGGAGAGGACGGTTCCCAGGCTGGGAGTGATGCTGGTGGGATGGGGTGGGAATAACGGGACCACGGTCACTGCCGCCGTCCTGGCCAACAGACTGGGCCTGACCTGGAAGACCAAGACCGGCGTGAAGGTACAATTCAATTATATTCACATTTATTTGTACAGCGCTTTTCACAATACACATCATTTTAAAGCAGTCCACATTACAGTGTACAGTGATCTGTTATCAGAGGAAACTGAAGTTATGCATTTCAGAAATGCACATATACTAAATCACAGTTAGCTAAAAAAAAAACTATTTAAACAATGTAAGGTACAGACAAACTGAGCCACTGTTTTGTGAGTTGAAAGATCCAGTAGCCAAGTAGCGACCCAATGGAGTGCTTAAATCTAACATTAATGTTCAAAAATACCATGAATACATGTGAATAAAATAGTGTTGGGCAACGATTGATCGCATCCAAAATAAAAGTTTATATTTGCATAATATATGTGTTTGTACTGTGTATTATTATGTTGTATATATAAATACACACACAGATCCATGTATATATTTAAGAAAAATGTGTTTTTTATATATAAAATATTTATATTTATACATAATATAAATTATATATAAATATATATACAGTATATAGACATATTTCTTGTATCTTATATATTTAAGAAAAATGTGTTATTTATATATAACATTTACATATAATATAAAAGATATATATACATGCAAATATTTCTTAAATATATACATGCATGTGTGTATATTTATATATATACAAAATAATGATATACAGTACACACACATATATTATGTAAACACAAACTTTTATTTTGGATGCGATTAATCAAAATATTATATAATGCATACATTTTTTGCACATAAAACAACACAACAGAAATAAACCTAACCCAACAACATGGAGCGAATGCAATATTAGTCAAGTATTAGTGTGGAAGAGAGATGTGGGTAGCAAGGTCCCATTAGTTAACGTTAGTTTGTTCGAGTATTTATTATCTTTATAAATATCTTGTATTGTCCGTCTTTCAGAAAGCGAATTACTACGGCTCCCTGCTGGAATCTTCCACGGTGTGTTTGGGATCGGGACCCGACGGAGAGGTCTACGTTCCCTTCCGAGATCTGCTGCCGATGGTGCATCCCAATGACATCGTGTTCGACGGTAAATACTGCGATAAAGACATTCGCTGAAGGTCGTTTCGGGACGGTCTTTGGCCCCTATTTTAACGATGTAAGCTCATGTCTAAAGCAAGTGCACTTAGGGCGTCCGAATCCACTTTTGCCAGTTTAACGACGGGACAAATGGTCGGCGCTCCCGGCGCATGATCTAAAAGTCTGTCTCTATTCTCTTAATGAGTAACGGGTGTGATTTGTCTCTATTCTCTGAATAAATAATGGGTGTGTTTTGGGCGTAACGTGCAATAAGCCAATCAGAGTCTCGTCTCCCATTCCCTTTAAAGCCAGTTGCACTCGCATGGCGGCTTCGCTATTTACAGGGAATTTGCATATGGAAAAACTGAACGCTTCTCTAGCGAGGAAACGGATCCGCTCGTGCACAAGGTTAAAGCTGTGTGTGTGTGTGTGTGTGTGTGTGTGTGTGTGTGTGTGTGTGTGTGTGTGTGTGTGTGAGGTTAAAGCTCAAGCAGACCATCTACGGGACAAGCCGGATTCACCATATCTTTATGTACACAATATTAATACTTAATAATAATAATAGTAATACTTTTACATTGTAATCCTTTTATTTGTAATATTTGGCATGTTTGTGTGCTGCTGCACGTCCCTGTCGGTGTAATAAGCAGAGTGTGTGTTTAATAAGCAGAGTGTGTGTATTAAGCAGAGTGTGTGTGTAATAAGCAGAGTGTGTGTTTAATAAGCAGAGTGTGTGTATTAAGCAGAGTGTGTGTGTAATAAGCAGAGTGTGTGTTTAATAAGCAGAGTGTGTGTATTAAGCAGAGTGTGTGTGTAATAAACAGAGTGTGTGTTTAATAAGCAGAGTGCATGTACATGTGTAATAAAAAAAATAAAAAAGAAATATATATATATATATATAAATATAGCTGCGAGCAGCGATTACGGGCCCAAGCCGGTGGCACCGCAACCCCGGTGCCTTTAGTTACCTAAAGGCACCGGGGTGGCGGTACCACCGGCTTTGGCCCTTCATCGCTGCTCGCAGCTATATTTATATATATACACACACAAACACACACACACACACACACACATATATATATATATATATATATATATATATATATATATATATATATATATATATATATATATACATAAATATATATATATTGTTTTTTTAAGAGACAAGACAGAATATTACTTGCCTGATCTGATTAGAAAAATAGTGTTGTGTGTGTGTGTGTGTGTGTGTGTGTGTGTGTGTGTGTGTGTGTGTGTGTGTGTGTGTGTGTGTGTGTGTGTGTGTGTGTGTGGCGTAATTGAACAATGTAGACATAAAAACATACTCCGTCCTTTTGTTCATACAGGACATTATTCAAACTGCAAAGTGTTTACTTATATTTGTGTACAATCGCAATAAAACACAACATTGTGCTTTTGTCAAGCTATAAACTCTTGTCAAACTGTAAACTACAACTGTCACCCAACCAAAATCTCTTACACACACACACACACACACAGTTTAAAAGCAAAAAATATCAAACAATCCTATTTAAAAACAGTCTGTGGGAGCCATCTTTTGGACATTCATCATATCGCATTGGTTTTCATTTCTTGTCATCAAACAGAGCCCTAATCTGTTTATTTTTTCAGTTACACATTCTACATTGATTAAAAAAGAAAAATCAAATGTGTTTTTATTTTATACAGAAATAAATAATCTATCATTCAGATGAGAATAAAGTTAGTGTTAGTTCAAATTTTAAGGAAAACAAATATATGATCTGAAATATAGCACATTCATTTAAAATTCATTCAGGTTCAATTACCAAACATACAATCTTAATGTAATTTAAAGCAAACAATACATTTAAAATATATGGGTTGTATGACTATTTTTTAATATAAAAAGATATATATCCAAAAAGACAAGGCCTAAAGTTTAACAAGGGTTAAACTCTTATCACTGTAACAGACACAATCACACACACAATCACACACACACACACACAAGTCAAATCACTTACATTTTACATGCAATATTGACTTTTTTTCTGTTTCAGCAGCGAAAATAGTTAAACAAAGATCACAGCAGAACCATCGCGCATCTCACAGCAACGCGTTCTCATTACTGAATGATTCAGCATTTTGAACGAATCGGTTGACTCAAAGATTCAATGACCAATCAATCCATAAACATCTATCTCATTCATGAATGACTCAGTCGTTCAAACGAATGAATCAATGACTCGCTCATTAAGACGGTCGCCTGGCGACACCTAATGACGGTTTAGTGTTATGTTTAAAAGTATCATTCTTTCCAACGATTGTTAATTAACTCATATTTGAAACATAAGCTATATTTATATATATACATACATATACACACACATACACAAAAATAAAATAAAAACACATTTGAAACGTGTTTGCTTACTAAATTGTGAGCTGAACGAAAGTTGCAGCAAATATCAGCAACAGGAGTCAAATTTCATTAATCACGAGAGTGAAGAGCTGACTGAAAAGATGATGACGGAATAGGCTATTTTATGTAAAAACGCCTATTTAAGCGAATCTGTCATTGTACTCTTTTATTGTTGTGTTTTCCGTGAAAAATAATAGACTATTGAACTCACAATTCAAGCAATTTAATTTCTACTTCCATAGGAATTCATTCGAGCGCCACCATTTCAATGTCTGTGCGGACGTCCATATTATACTTTCGCTTTCAAGTTAGTGTTTTTAAACCCCCCCCAGCGGGAGGTTTACACAATTGGTTTACACAATCACACGTTGATTAACCGGTGGGAAAATATTCCCATAGTAACATCCCTAATATATAAATATTTATAAATTCAATAGGCCTACCTGATTTTGAACACAAGAGGGCAGTATAGCACTATATATGATTTGGATTATTATTATTTTTGACTAAACAACCATTCTGGCTGTTTTTAAACTTAAAAATAATTCTTAAATTGAAAAAAAGGAATAAAATGGGTTTAGTTCTAATATTTGTATAATTTTATATAAAAATAAATGGTGTATAATTACATTTTAGAAAGATATGAGACATGCCCTGATTCTTTTTTTGACATTACTTGAATCCCTCAACCATAGCAAAACCGTTTGAGATATTCAATATCTGTTCACAATTTAGCATCTTCAATGTATTTTCATCATGTTGAAAAAGTTTGGCATGAATAAAATAAACTACTTAGGAGGAGTAGCTAAAAACTCAGAATCTGAAATCCACATTCAAACCAAAATATCTGACTTCCTGTTGGTCGTAGCTAATTACGGTAAATTAGAAAGTTGTCCGGCTCGAAGAGTACAATATACATATCGAGTTTTGTTACTGTAGATAAAACTAACCCCCCCACTTTTGTCAAAAGCATTTAGAAAGTGACACACTTCCTGCTGCCAGTTGGTGGCGCTATAACTTTGACTCACAATAGTCACATCCATGTGATCGGGCTCTTACAGCGATCACACTGCTGAAGTTTCATCAAGATCAGTTAATGTATGCAGAAGTTATAACGCACTTCTTGTTTGTTGTTTCTCGCCATAAATTCGTTTCCTCGCCACGGCCAAACCGTTCGAGATATCAAAAATCCCCTCGCAAACTTTCATCCTCAATGTCTTGACTTCATGCTGACCGAGTTTCGTGCCGTTTGTTTGAATTCTCTAGGAGGAGTATTTCACATTCCATTGCGTGTGTTTTACCAACAACCCTAAATAGCCGACTTCCTGTTGGGCTGGGGTAAAAAGTAAGAGTGTGAAGTATATATGAAACGAGGAGATCTACATGTGTACCGAGT